GACAGGTTAGGGTCTACGCGAGGCACGACTTACCTACACCTTACGGGAGTTGTCACCTCCCTTCGGTGGGCGTATCCCCGCCGAGCTACCAGTCCGAGCGTACGGAGCTGTCTCTTATACACATCTAGATGTGTATAAGAGACAGTCTTAGTATATATGAAAATCAAAACATTCATGCGCACTTCTTAGTGGCCCGAAGCAGCTTTGGTGGGTGGTGAAGCAAGATATGGATCCAAATGCAACAAGAAGTCCCCCGACTACCCTGTTGTACAAAAAAAAAAAAAAATTCTCGACTATTGTTTAGAAAAAAAAAATTGTTTATGCGCACTCCTTAGCCGCCACATTTTGGGTTTTGCGTGTGGTGCAGCATGATGGGGAACCAAGCCCGAAGTGGGAGGGGGGCCCCCCCCCCCCCCCCCGCAACTTGAATTAAAAAAAAAATACATATATTCCTTAGTATATAAAAATCAAAACATTCATGCACACTTCTTAGCAGCCTGGTGCGGATTTGGTGGGTGGTGAAGCAAGATATGGATCCAAATGCAACAAGAAGTCCCCCGACTACCCTGTTGTAAAAAAATAATAATAATATTATCAACTATTGTTTAGAAAAAAAAAAATTGTTCATGCGCACTTCTTAGCTGCCACATTTTGGGTTTTGCGTATGGTGTAGCTCTGCAGCATGATGTGGAACCAGGCCCGAAGTGGGGGGGGGGGTGCAGGGGGAGAGGGGGGCGGAGCCCCCCCCTCCGCAACTTGAATAAAAAAAAAAATACATATATTCCTTAGTATATATGAAAATCAAAACATTCATGCGCACTTCTTAGCATCCCGGTGCGGGTTTGGTGGGTGGTGAAGCAAGATATGGATCCAAGTGCAACAAGAAGCCCCCCGTCTACCCTGCTGCAAAAAAATATATATAATATTCTCAACTATTGTTTAGAAGAAGAAAAAAATTGTTCATGCGCACTTCTTAACTGGCACATTTTCGGTTTTGCGTGTGGTGCAGCATGATGTGGAACGACGCCCGAAGTGGGGGGGGGGGGGGGCGCCAYTTAAATTATATATATATATATATATATATATATATATATATTCCTTAGTATATATAAAAATCAAAACATTCATGCGCACTTCTTAGCGGCCCGGTGCGGGTTTGGTGGATGGTGAGTCAAGATCTTGACTCAACGTTTATGATTGACTAGCCTCTCTGCTCTTTTACGTGCGGGCATTGCCCGCACCACCCGCACCGCGGGCGCTAAGCTAGTTATTATTATTATTTTACATACAGACTCTTTTTCTTTCACACGTCACATGCATATAAACAGGCGACACAGCGAACCGGCGTCAAGCGCCCACTCAGATCTTAGAGATATGGTAACCGAGAACACAGGTCAGATTCGAGTTCACTTCAATGGCTATAGCAACTCGGCACCCACACAACTCTCTTTGTTCGCATACACAGGATCACCCTGGATATCCCACACGAGTTACTATGAACGCACACACACACTCACACTCTGAATTCTGACTACGACTATAGCGGCTATGTACGCTACTACCATATCGTTATGGCTAAGCTTCTCTCTCACCCACTTCTTCCCCGGGCATCTGCAGACTACCCCGCACAAAGCGCTCAGGCAGCACTTCCGCAAGGCTTACGCAGCAATGAATGAATGGTTGGATGTTGTCTCTGGATGTATACTTTTGTTCGTTTTTGGACTGTCTTTTTCCACTGGGCCCCTAAGTGTACACAGTCCCACACGGTACTTGCTGACTGGACTAAGTGAGACTGGGACCTGGTATTGCTGACTCAGCAAGGGTGGACTTACCACTGCCCACTTGCCTCTAG